TTGAAGAAAGTCCTTGATAAGCACTAGTAACTAATTTAGTTTTAATTCATACCAACAAAATCACCTGCAACTTTTAAGGTTTACCAGCCAGAGGGGTCACAAACTCATCTCACAAAGTGATGATCAGCATCATTTCATATGATTAAAGACAATGTAATAATTCTAAATGTTAAGATGCACTGGGACATTCAATCTGCCCTCAAGTCTGCTTTTTCTCTTTGATTTTTAGGGCTATTATCAATGCAAATCTCAGTAGGAGAAGATAATGAGAAAAAATACATGCAGTGCATGAAGAACTTGCATCATCCTTAAATGAATTCATTTAGTGTATAAAGTCTTGGCATAAGTGAGAATGTATGACCTGGTTATTGGTGAACAGTTAAAACAAATAATGTGCCTGGTTCTATTTGCACATATATAAGTACTTTTGGAGTTGTCCTGTGTAAACAATAGACACTCACAGAAATAAAGAGCAACACGTGATTTACTGAAAAAAATCAAAATACATAACACACCATTATATACTTATATCAGATGTTGATGACCACATATTCCACAAAAAAATGTCTTCTGTATGAAAAACAAAACAGGTAAAGAATTTCAATTTTATAAGTATGCAAATACTCATCTCAGTGGCTGACCAGAGATGCACATTTCATGATCTGGGTCATTGTAACTTTGATGAATAATTTGCATTGATAAATGCCATGTTTATGGTCTTACTAACAATTACCTTGTTGGTAATTATCTACATGTTGGCAGCTGTTTCAGATTTAATAAAGTTCACGGCCAGTGACCATAGCTAGGAGTTCTCAATGTCGGCTTTCAGCCACATCCTGACTATTTCTTTGCAATAACATATATTAAGTAATTACTAATATTTCAACACCTGCTTTTCCAGGTGTAAATCCTATACATAAATTAAATTTGCATAAAATCAGCTTATGGTTGCACTAATAGCATCAGGACATCAAAGAGTAATTCATGAGGAAAGCACCGTGTTGTAGATAGATCATATACATATCTGACCAAGATGAAATCTGGGTGGGAAATCAAAACAAAGCAGGAAAAAATCTTAGCATTTATGAAGAGATAATGTATACAAATCATATAACAAAACTGAGTTTCCCTATATATATTATAGCAAAAAATAATAATAATAGATGAAAATTTAATATTTCTAATCGTCATACATATGTTGAAAATTCAATTTCGACTTTTAGAGAATCATTACT